TGGACTATCTTACGAACCTGCTCAGTGGGCTCCCAGCTACAAAGTTACCCTGCCCATTGCAAATGAGAGTGATCATCCATATGAAAATCTATGGCCCTCCCCTGGTTGGAATCTTGCTATGGCTCCCTATTGCCTTCAGATGAAGTTTAGGTTCCTGACCCCTACATCCATCTGGGTTTCAACCTCCCCTGTTTTTTCCAACCCCCTTCTTTTTAGTGCTCATCCCCTGGATCCTACTAATCTGGGATTCTCTAGGCCTAATTGTTCAACTAAACTGAATAAATATGCAAGGTTTTGGTTTTTAAATAATACAGAGTAATACTTGTTCCTGTAAAGCATGTATAAACTATAATTTCAAGTTTACTATGAAAATCAAGTCTTTTAAAACATTTTAATTACGGTGAAAATCATTTTTAAAGAAAAAATAGTCATCCCTGAAGAAATTAGAAGGGGGAAAAACTATGTTCCACCATGTTTTGCTTTTTAGTCAAGAATTGATTTATTCTATTTCTACGTCTTCACTGTGGCAACTGCCATCAGAAGTCTTCCTAAGCAGTGATGGATGGTGTATGAGTCAGGATCTAATGAGGGAAACAGGCACCGCCCTGTTTAATCCCTGTCATAATTCAGGGATTTGGTCAGGTAGGTGACGGAAGAGCTGAGAAGCCACAGCACTGTGAGAGAACCACGGGCAGCCTACCTGGCCTAGGTTAGAAGGATGAAGGGAGGAGATGACGCTGCTGGAGCTCAGGGTCACCCACAGTGGGTGGAGCCATGGGAGAGATACAGCAGTTCGCAGAGACACTGCTGACAGGGCACCCAGGTCTCCTGAGCTGATGAGACAGGCTGAGGATCTTGGGGAGCAGAAGTGAGTGCAGGAGTAGAGAAAACTACAAAGAGAGAGCTGCAGAGACCTGCAGAAGGTTCCCCTGAGTCTTCAGCTGATTTCTGACCAGCAAATGCATGTAAAAAAAAAAAAACTACCAGAGGCCAAAGAACCACCTGAAAAGATTACAGGGAACAGTCTCCAAAGCTTATGAAAATATGCTGCATGAACTGGAAAGAGAGAAAGAAATGCCCTGGGTTTTTCCCTGTCTTCCTCCCTCTATTCCTCCTCTCATCTGTGCCTCTCCTTAGCTTGGTGGTTCTCACCTTGGCTGCACGCTGGAATCAACCTGGGAGCTTTAAAAAGTTTCAATGCCTGGGTACACCCCTAGAGAGTCTGTGTTAATTGGTTTGGGTGCAGCCTGGGCATTGTGAGCTTTAAAAGATTTCCTGGTGAGTCTAATGGTTGAGACTATTAGCCTGGGTTAGCTAAACCCAGGCACAGAGCAGATCCCGGGAAACACCCCATCCAGAAATCAGTGCCCTTCCATGCAGGGCAAGGAGAGCATCAGAGAGCCTGAAGGCCTAGGATCAGCAAAGATGCACAAAGAGGTGGGTAGAAACAAGGGAGAAGGTGAGAAGCAAAATTATCATAGACATGATCTTCTCTAAATCCTTCAGGCGGCCAGCTCAAATTGATTGTCCCAGCTGCAGAGTTTCCTCCCTGTTATAATACTTATTGTTCCTCCAATGACAAGACGTTTATCACATGTCCTCAGCTGAGCTGAAGCTCAGCAGCGTCTTGCTATCTGCTTTGGCTCTTCCTGCAGCACCCCATCAGGAAAGCCTGCTGTTCCTCCTCTGGCTGTTGGTGTCACATGTTTCCTCCTTTCCAAACTGACCAGCTCATACAGATACTTAGCTATTATTAAGTAGTAATTCATGAGTAATAATAGATAATATATTACCTCCTCTGGATATTTACATGGCCTTGAGTGTAAGAATTTCAGGGCAAAGTCACAGATTGAGTTTATTTTTTGTGTGTTCCTTAAAATGTAAATAAATGTCAATCAAATAATGCAGGTGATGGCCTAACATTGGAAAGTAACAATTTACAAATTATTAATATTTATTACAATTTTGTTTTATTAATAATTACAATCCTACTCATCGCTGTTAAAACATTCCACGAAGTGAAGATACCTTAAGATACATTTATATCTAAGTAATCATCTTTACATAAATGAGCCTAAAAACATGCTTGTTGTAAATTCCAAAGTACTGTGATTTCAAATCAAAAGAAATTTACTTTATATTTACTAATATTTAGTGGAAATATTAAGCATTATCCTATTTGCCTGAGAAAGTCATTTTCCAGAGAAGGACAAAATCCAAAGTCAAACATGAGAAATTGTTTTCTCTGTGTGTGTGTGTGTATGTATGTGTGTGTGTTTGGACTGACAGGTTATTTCCTGAAAAACTGGGCCCAAATTGTGAAACTGTTAAAATACTAAGTGGTTCAAAACTGGACGTGCTACTTTTAAAATTGTTTTCTGGTGTGAATTTTTCTTATTATGACTCCATATAAAAAGTTTGTGAAACTCCACTTCTGACTACATTAAGATATTTATAATTTTTACAGTAGTGCTGACTCCTAAAAACAAACTTCCAATAGGACAGTCACAAAATGCTGAAGAAATATACATGTATACATAAAGGCCACAGATAGATCCACCTTTGTGATCCAATACGAAATATATAAAGACCAATAATTCAGAGAAAAATAATTTCTTTTCACCAATCATGTAATGTATGATATTCTTCCAATGGAAATTTAAGCTATCAACACTGCACTTTTAAACCCCAAAATTTCAACTACCACCACCATCTGATTGAGCTCTCCAAATTCTCACCAAAAGAAATATATCCATTCTGAGTCATGTGTACATAATCTCAATTTTGTTATCAGATTCTTTTGAAAGTACTTAAAATAATGAATACATTTTGATGGACAGAATTAAAATTCAAAAGAGGTGAATGATCACATATTGATGGAATTCCAGCAGCTCATGGGAGCAACAATGTGACCACCAAAGCCATCTTCATCTATCACATCATTAAGTAAGAAAAGGAAGATGCTTTTTGTACATAAAACTAGAAAATTAAGATTAAGTGAACTGGAGGTTTTTATATAGCAAATTTTAAATAATATTACATAGGAAAGATAAACACAATTATAACCTTATATAATTATCAAAAGTAATAGTAAATCCATTAGGATTTTATCATGAAAATATTGTATATACCTTTTCTTAGCATGTGAAATGAACCTAACAATTTCTTTGAAAATAGAACCTGAACACATACATGTACTGAGTCAGGTTCAACTAATGTTGTTGACTTATTAAATAATGATATCTAGGAACTTCGCTTATTTATAAGACCTAACTGCCTTTTGGGGAATAAATGACGATAATTTTACAGATACTATTAACTGCAGTGAAATGTGCTCATACACCCAAGCTGAAGAGAAGTATCTAATTTATCTTGGTCAAGTTACAAAGCTCAAATAATGTAAACATGGCCTCGACAAGGTTAAACAGCCCAAGTCCTTAATATCATATGGCTCTTTTTCAGAATGCTCCCACTTAATATGCCTCAGGCATTCTGTGAGTCCAGGAACCATCCACACAGTGCCTGACTTTGTTTAGTGACAACAAAGGGGTCAAAGATGGAGAAAGAGAAGGAACAGGACACAACCTCCCAAAGCAAAACCAAACCAAACAAGAAAAAATATTCATAATTGTTTAAGGAAAAAATTGATTCCAGGTTGAAACTTTAAATTAGAAAATATTTTCCTCAGTAGAAAGCAAATAAAAAATAAACATCAATGTTTCTCAAATCTTATTGTCTATTTCTACTTTTTAATTTCTTATAGAAATAGCAGATTTAAAGATTACCACATACACATAAACACACATGGTTGCTTTCTTTTAGTTATGGCACTGCAAATTTTAGGGACAAACTTTTCTATGAGGCAAGAATGCTTAATCAAGTGTAGCTGGCTCCAGATTTTAGAACCAACAATAAAACAGAAAGATCTATAATGAACAAGGTGCTATTCAATCAGCTTCAGGCAAACATTAATGGTGACAAACATTATACAAGAAACGCTAGGCATTTCTTTTGACTAAAAGGATTACATGGGAAATTTTAGGTGGAAGAAAGATTTTTAAGCATCTCATAAATGCAGAGAATCACGTAACCATCAGAAAAAAATTAAGAACCTCCTCCATGTAATATCATCGATTAGGGATTATGTTGGGTTATATTACAGCCTTATTAAATATAATGGACACTGGCTGGGTGTGGTGGCTCATGCCTGTAATCCTAGCACTCTGGGAGGCCGGGGCGGGCGGATTGCTCAAGGTCAGGAGTTTGAAACCAGCCTGAGCAAGAGCGAGATCCCGTCTCTACTATAAATAGAAAGAAATTAATTGGCCAATTAACATATATATATTAGCTGGGCATGGTGGCACATGCCTGTAGTCCCAGCTACTCAGGAGGCTGAGGCAGCAGGATTGCTTGAGCCCAGGAGTTTGAGGTTGCTGTGAGCTAGGCTGACGCCACAGGATTCACTCTAGCCTGGGCAACAAAGTGAGACTCTGTCTCAAAAAAAATAAAATAAAATAATGGACATCTTCATCGCTATATATTCAAGCTCCATCTATGTCACCAAGTGGCTGAGAATAAACAAAGGCTTAAAAAACATAATCCACTTTATCCACTTAAACTCTCCTTCCTAAATGCCTGAGATGGGTGGCCTCTTTAAGGTCCATGGAGTAATGTATTTCTTTAAATTGGTGTTCTCCTACCTGAAAACATTTACTGTAAGAGTCTCTTAGCACACTGCTCAAGTCAACTGCAGATCTTTTCTGAGGGGTGAGAGAGAGCAGGCTGCCATTCTCTGTTTGTTTTGGATAAGCCAACTAGTTTCCTGACTTCCTTCCTTTTGTTTCTATTTTAAGGAGGAAGAGCAAGAGAAAGCCCCATTCCCACCCCAACCCTCCCCCCAACACAAATTATAATATCTCTACATGTGTTACAAGGAGGCATAAACTATAGAAACATAAAGTTCAATTGCTCAGGTGTAGGAATAGTAAACATTTTCTTACCTGATGTGGCCAATCAATTCAATAAGCTTGTGACTAAAGAAATAAGCTGTCAGCTCAGACACATGACTCAGGACTGAACAGACCCCAAAGAGGGTTGTAGTTCCATTCAGGTCTTCCAAATGCCAGTAGAGAAAGGTGAACACGAAGCCGTATCCGAAACCCATGAACCAAGCCACGAACAACACTGAGCCGTACTGCACACTGCAGAGCAGTTTGATTAAGTCCCAAAAGTTGAAGGCCTGCGAGTGGCTTGTGGTGGTCGGGGTGTCCTCAGAGGACTCCGTGGAGGTGTTCCTCTCCACCTGAGGGATCTCCACCTCTTTCCCTTTATTATCTTCATTCTTGAAGTGGTTGTAGCGGAACCGGAACTGAGTAGCCACGATCAAGGCCATGGTCATGAGAACACCAAAGACGATGAAGACGATCTGGTAGTTCCGGTACTCAGGGGGCTTACACCCCTTTCCATCGATGAGCACGTCTACATGGGTGTAGTCAATCCCGATGCCCACGGACAGCATCGCCAGGCCCCAGCCCAAGGAGCCCCACATGCGCTGCAATCCATAGCGGTCTCTGTGTTTTCCCAGATACTGGAGTGTTATCGTGTCTACAATCGTGACAGAAGAGGCACTGAAAAATTCTCCTATGATGACAACTACCAAGATCACCAAGAATATAGCTTCAACTTCCTGTTGATCATACACAAGGGTGACTTGGTCAGAAGGTAAAGATTTGGTGGTAGTGACAACAGTGGTTGTCTCCCTGGTTACGTTTCCTGGGGGGGTAGGAGGAGCTATGCTCGAGTTCAAGGTCAAGTCCATAATATGGTGAGTAATTTCATGTGTCTGGGGCTGCAGAGTGGGTTCACTGGTCTTGTCTGGAGCTGCTGAAACAACAACAGCATCTGAGACGTTGGGCCCCGTTTCTAACAATGATGGCCAGTAGGTAGTGGGCAGGTCCCGTTTCTCACGTATTTTTGGTGATATGGTAAGGAAAGAGGTAAGGGAAGCATTCGTTGGCAGGATGGTTACCTGCTGACTTGCGTTGGTGGGGCGAGCTGTCGGGGGAATCTTTGGTACACATCTCAAGGTAGCAGGTTTGACAAAGCCAATGCCCAGGTTGAATAAAACCCAACATAAAAGAGAAAAGAGCAGGACAATTTTGCCTTTTTTAAAGCGATCTGCAACTACACCCCAAAAGGGGGCACTGCAGAATTCAATGAAGTATCGAATACCTACTAGCAGTCCACTCTGGCTGGGTGACATTCCCAGCTGTTTATAGTACACAGGCAAAAGCGGGTAGAGAGAGCCATAGGCAGAGTAAAAGAAAAAATAAAAGACCTTGGAAATTAGAAGATCGTTGTTGATTTTAACACAATGTTTCTCTATCCAGTCTATTTCCTCCTCAGGAATAGCAGCTGTTTCTGTGGAGGAGGGTGTTTCATTTGAAGGTGGTTCTGGTTCCCTGGAAATGCCATTAAAGGGATCAGCGAGCACATATTTTCTCTTCTGCTCCTCTTCGTCATCAGTTAAGATAGCAACTTTATCATCTGCCGCCATGGCTTCCCGCCACCATCAGAAAGTTTATGACCTTCAGAATTTTGATTGTTGATCTGTAAAGTAAAATTTAAAAGATGGCTTAGTAATGACAATCATAACATGTAAACACAGAACTTCATCTTGCAGGAAACTAAGGAGTTACAAACTGTAGCTAAAATAATAATTGTGAGAGAAGACTCTCACCATTTATCACTTGCAGCCACACAATACCAGTAAAGAAAAATCGCTTTTAAAAAATGGAATACTTTTTGTGGCTACTGACTGGCTAATTACATCTTCCAATGTCAGGTTTATAGCTCAGATTCATTCCCAATCTTTTCATTGATTACCAGGGAAAATGTGCAAATGATAGGGATTATGTCTAAACCAAATACAGGAAGTTGAAAATAAACACTTTTCACAGTTTCTTGGTTTTACTCTTCAAACAAATCCACTGCATTACGGAGTCTAGAATTCTTTAGGGGAAAAAAAGGAGCTAAAACCATTCAGTTTCTGAGGAAACATAGATTACACTTTAGCCACAACCACAAATGTAATGAGAAAGAGGGAGCCAACTGTACTTCTGCAACTGAAATTGGTCACTAGTGACATGACAAAGACATCCTGATAAGGAAGTAGTCTTCACATTGCTAATACTATATACATTTCTCCAGTTGTGCTTTTATAGATTACAATTTAAGAAAATATCAGGAAAAAAGTAGCAGATGACTTTTATTGAGCATTTACTCTGTGCCAGATAACATTTAAAGATCTTTACATGTATTGATTCATATCCATCACAATATCCTATGATCTTGTCCATTTAACAGATGAGAAAAATGAGGCAATAAAACTTTAATAAGTGTTGGGGGGAAATGGGCATTTATTGAAACCTTAAAATCTGTACCCCCATAATATGCCGAAATAAAAAAAAAAAAAAACTTTAATAAGTGGCAGAACCAGGATTTGAACCCTGATATTATGGCTTCGTGACATATGTTCTAATAGACAACACTAAAATGACAAATGCCACATTTTGGATAGTAAAATGCCATTAAACCTTTTAATTTAAGAGACAGGGTGTTTCATATAAGAGATTAGCAATATATCAATGGATAAATTTATAAGAACTGTGCCATATTCCATCAGAATTTTCCTTCCATTAAAGATTAAATCAAATAAAGAGTCAAAAGGTCTTACTTATACCAAGATTTATCATGTCATTGCAATGAACATATTCTGATGGTAGGAGCTGTATACATTAAATACTTGTTAATTCCTTTCACATTCTCTACCAGAGAAACATATCCATTCCACTTGCCACCCATTTTCCCAAAATGAAGACTAACATTCTGAAAACCTCCCAAAATTATGCTTGTAAACATTTTTATCTCTATAAAGCCAGGAAACCAGTGGAAACACAACTTAATGAGGCCTATGTAATAAGTCAATTTATCCCCAAAAGCCAGCAGTCAATTTCACTATAAGCTTTGAAAATGTTAATGTGTTCTTTTTATAGGATAAAAAAAATTTTTTAACTGAGGTAACATTCACATAACACAAAATTAACCATTTTAAAGTGAACAATTTAGTAGCATTTAGTATATTCACAATGTTGTACAACCTTCACTCTATCTAGTTCCCAAATCATGTTTTTCTTAATGGTGAAAGGAAAACATTTTTTCTCTAAGAAAACTTGAAGACAAAGCAAAATACAATCATTTCTGCCTAGTTATGAAAGACTTTCTTCAGTATTCTATACATACTTTCCCTTCATCATTAGTGCCTTCACCTATCCAACTCAGTCATTCCAATTCCAATTCTTCACTTGAGAAGAACAAATAATTCCCCCGTGGACTTATTTTCTAAATTCATTTAATTCCTAAGCTCAAAATTTTTAAAATATTCATTTGTGTTTAAAATGTATAGAATTGCACGATACTTTTGGGTGAAGAGGGTAGATTGAACACATCTAGTGATAGGGAAAAACCCCCACCCCAAGGCCCCATGGTTGAACTCACTGCTAATTGGATACTTTTTGAATCCCACTGCTGATTGGATGTAAAGCTTGTTGCTGACTAAATACTTTTTGAATCCCACCGCGGATTGGATAACTCCTCATGCTCATAGTTGATTGGTTGTGTGTAACGCCAAGAAGTATACAAAACCGGAGGAGAACAAGGAAGCAGGGCTCAGAATTTGGTGGCATGCCCCTCTGAGCCCACCAGGAGAATAAGGCTGATTCTCCGACCTCTGTGTGCTGCGTGGTTCTTTCCCTGGTCAGTCGCTGTTAACACTTGCTGTTACACTTGCTATTCCACTTGCTGGAACACTAGTTTGAATCCTTCCCTAAACCCCACTAAAATGACCACACACACACACACAAACAAGCTTATTTTTAAAGTCATAATTCAAACTAGAAAGAGTTAAAGGGCATATAACAGTAATAAAATAAAATTCTGGAAGCCAGAAAGTAAACAATTGGTGAATTACTTAATAGCTCTGAGAAAACTAAAACTTTGGTTGACAATGAGGAAAGCCAAGAACTAATATAATTTACTACTCAGAATCCCTCAAAGCTTCATGAGTTGGCCATGTTAGGTTTATCTACAAGTTGTGGGGGAGGGTGCTGCTAAGAGAGTTGACTGAAAGTCTAAACTCCAACTAGGAATGTCCAATCCCCTTCCCCACTTCACATAGCTGCCAAACAACTATAGGTTTTTCCCTGTAAAAAGGAGAAAACAGAGGTTCTTTAGCCACACAGCACCAGGCTGAATTGCAAGTAGCGGTGCCACACTGAAAACAGGACATCAAGCCAACATATACATCGTGGATTCTAAGCCTTGGCACCTTTCCCAGTCCCCATTCCACTTTCCTCATTAGATTCCCAGAGGCTAGAAACACTTTCATCTACTAGGCAGGAAACTTGAAGCCTCTTCTCCAGAGAATCTGATTAGCTCATGAAGAATGGCCTGTAGATACTAATGCTAAAGCCTCCCCAACTAAACAACCCAACCAAATCACTCTATAAAGGAGTTCAGAGTTCTCAAGCCCTTCCACTAAATATGAGTAGTTACCAAGGATTGTAAGACATTCGAGGAAAAGTGTGTTACATGAAAGATAGAACCAAAACAAACAGGAAAAAAATCCATTTGGAGAAAACAGAAGCTAGGTATGGAAGGAAATATTTTAAATTATTAATATCTTCAGAAATAAAATAAAATAATGTGACCATGAAATAAATACAGGATAATAATATTTTTAAAGAAGGAGTAGTATGGATAGTTAAAAGGAATGCTCAAATAAAAAACATCTCTGGAAATTATAAGTATTATATCATAAATAAAAAATTAAGAGATATGAGAGAAAAATTTGAGGAAACTTCTTAGGAAAAAGAAGAAAAAGAACAATAAACAGATACCTGTATCTCACATCATACACAGAAATCAATTTCAGATCGACTCTAGATCTAAAAGTAAAAGATAAAATAACATAGCTCTTAGAAGAAAAGATTAAAAAAAATCCTAAAGACCTAGGAATAGAAAAAAATGTATTAGACACAAGATGTACTAAGCATTAAGGAAGAAAAAGTAATTGGACTTCATTAAAATTGAGAACTGTTCCTAAAAAGCCAACATTAAAGACTGAAATGGCAAGTCAAAGAGTGGCAGATGATATTTTGGTGGGGGTGTTTTATATGTATATATTTACACACACACACATACACACACATATATCTGACAGAGTGTATCCAGACTTATAAAGAGTTCTTCAATAAAAATTAATAGGGAAAAAAAATTAGTAGGAACATTTCAGGTAACTCAACAGGAAAAATGGGGAAAAGACTTGAACAGGCACTTCACAAAAAGACCTTATGCAAATGCCAATAAATATATAAAAAAGATGCTCTACTTGATTAATCACCAGTGAAAGCTTAAAACCAGAATGCAATAATTCAGCATACTCCAAAGATGGTTAAAATAAAAAAGACAAATATAGGTTAAGTATCCTTAATCTGAAAATCTAAAAAACAAAATGCTCCAAAATCTGAAAATTTTTGAGCACTGACATGATACTCAAAGGAAATGTTCATTGTAGCATTTTTGATTCACATTTTTGGATTTGGGATGTTGAACCAGTAAGTATAATGCAAATATTCCAAAATTTGAAAAAATCCTAAATCTGAAACACTTCTGGTCCCAAGCATTTCAGATAAAATATCCTCAACCTACAATCCAGTGTTGATGAAGATGTGGAGCAAATGGAACTCTAATAGATTGCTGGTGGGGGTGTAAATTGATATGCTAATACCATATATTTGAAAATTGGGAATAGCTACTACTCTTGAGTGTATACACTATGACAACTCCTATATATGTATCAAATAGTAATATATTCACAAAAATACATCTACAAATGTGTTAACAGCAGAACAACTTTAATAGCTCAAAACTGGTTGCAACGTATCTATAGCAGATGCATAAATTGTAGTATATCCATTCAATGAAATACTGACAACAGTAAAAAATGAACAAAATACAACTACATGCGAAGACAAGGATGAACCTCACAAACATAATAAAGACTGAGGGAAGCAAGAAACAAAATATCACATACCATATGATTCCATTTATGGGAAAAAACAAGCAGGCAAAACTCATGATAGACTTCTCTTCCAGAAGATGGGATAGACATAGTTTTCCCTGCTGCTCTGCTAAGTACAATTAAAAACTCTGGACAAGCCGGGCGCGGTGGCTCAGGCATGTAATCCTAGCACTCTGGGAGGCTGAGGCGGGCAGATAGCTCGAGCTCAGGAGTTCGAAACCAGCCTGAGCAAGAGCGAGACCCTCTCTCTACTATAAATAGAAAGAAATTAATTGGCCAACTAATATATATAGAAAAAATTAGCCGGGCATGGTGGCGCATGCCTGTAGTCCCAGCTACTCGGGAGGCTGAGGCAGGAGGATTGCTTGAGCCCAGGAGTCTGAGGTTGCTGTGAGCTAGGCTGACGCCACGGCACTCACTCTAGCCTGGGTAACAAAGGGAGACTCTGTCTCAAAAAAAAAAAAAACTC